AAGAGACGTAAACAGTCTCTGAGAAGATAAAAATCAGCATTAACTATTAAACCGAAGGTCCTGGACCCATGGGGTCTTGAACAATGATATATTGGGCCAATGACCTTGACAAAGGTCACATGGTCAAAAGTTAAGGCCATGTAACTGATAGCGAATTATGTGTTTTTGACCTTATTCAAAGGGTTTTAAAACGTTTAATCCCGCCACATTCTATATGTGCCTGTCCCAAGTCAGGAGCCTGTAATTTAGTGGCTTTCTTTTTTTGCTGTTTCTCATATATGCTTTTCGTTTATTATTTTGCACAGTGTTTTCTGATGTTGTATCCTTACACCACTGTCCAAGGTTAGGGGGAGGGTTTGGCGCCAACAAAACTAGTTTAAACCCGCTGCATTTGTTTGCACCTGTCGTAAGTCAGGAACCTGATGTGTAGTGGTTGTCGTTTGTTGATGTGGTTGATAAGTGTTTCTATTCATATTGTACATATGACTTCAACCCCTTTCAGTGTGGGTAATATTTATATATACGTATTTACATTGTATCATAGATCAAATTTATTCGTTCAGTGTATGTTCACTTGTGTTAATATGTCTTTTGATTGAGTTAAGCCATTTTAATTGATATTTTATAGTGTGTCTTTCTATGTTGTGATGTTACACTATTGTTTAAGTTAAGGGTGAAGGTTTGGTACCATTAAAACGTTTAAACCAACCCGCTGCAATTGTTTGCACCTGTCCTAAGTCAGGAATCTGATGTTCAGTAGTTGTCGTTTGTTGATGTGGTTTATAAGTTTTTCTCGTTTCTCTTTTTTTATATAGATTAGGCCATTGGTTTTCCTGTTTGAATGGTTTTACACTAGTCATTTGTTGGGCCCTTTATAGCTTGCTGTTCGGTGTGAGCCAAGGCTCGGTGTTGAAGGCCGTACTTTGACCTATAATGGTTTACTTTTACAGATTGTGACTTGATGCTGATGTGTCCCATTGGCACTCATACCGCATCTTCTTATATCTATTAAATGTGTTTTGAGGCATTTTTTTACGTAGATCTTGACCATTGACCTTACTTCTTACTTTAATATATCTAAGAAACCCGTACAGGAATCGTCAATAGTAAGAAATGTTTGGGTCATCAAGACACAACTTTGGAACATTTTGACCGAAGAAATTTGACCTATCCGTAAGGGGCATATCCCCCGTTAACGGTTTCTGAAAAGACAGAATTAGCTTTAACCTTAACCAAAATTCCTTGACCCATGATGATTTAAGCAAGGATACCGGGGACCAATGACCTTGACAAAAGTCATAAATCAAAGGTCAAGGTCATGACCTAGATCACGAATTTTATGTTTTTGACCATATTTTAAGGGTTTTATGTGTGTTTAATGCTTATCAATGCATTTAACATTTATTCAAACATATAATTTACATTACAAAAAGGAAAGACCTCTCAATTGTTCACGAACAATTGACATTTTAATTCCGTCTATTATTGTAAAACTGGATATTATGACAATAATGATAATAACCTTGGAGGAACTTGCAATGCATGTAAGTTTATTTAGGAATTCAAACATGAGTCACTAAAGTCATAGACAACTAATAGACATTATTCCAAGTTTTAGTAAATTTTGTATTGCAGACGTTTCTCAAACATCCGTATAACGGCTGTTTAATCATGTGTTTTTTAATTTAATCAAACTAATAGTAATTTTTGTATTTTTGTCAAAGATAGGCGAAAGATATCAAAAAGATATTCAAACTCATAAGTCGAAAACAAACTGACAATGCCATGGCAAAAAACGATGGACAGGACTTGATGTTAAAGTTCAAACATTCTGATAATCCCTCCAAATACAGACATAGTATGCTGACATAAAAAACACCATCAGTATATTGATAAAATTGAGAATGGAAACGGGGAATTGTCAAAGAGACAACAACCTGACCAAAGATCAGAAAGAAGCCCAAGGCTACCAATAGGTCTTAACTAAACACAGCGAGAAAATCCCGAAGCCGGAGACGGGCTCCAGCTGTCCCCTAAACAAAAATGTGTACTAGTTCAGCGAAAATAGACGTCACACTAAACTCCGAATCATATAAATGAACCAAAACTAAAAGAAAAACATTAAAAGACTAACAAAGACCAGAGGCTCCTGACTTGTTCTGGTATGCGAGACCTATTTTCTTATTAAGCCGAAGAAGTGTACAGGGGGGGAACTGTTTTGTGTGTGTTCAAAATCGTGACAATACCGTGTACTCTAACTATTGGAGTAAGATGTAGAGAAAAGAATTGTGAATTACATAAATCAGGCCGTTAGTTTTATCGTTTAAATTGATTTACATTTGTCATTTCGGATCCTTTTATAGCAGACCATGCGGTATGGGTTTTACTCATTGTTGAAGGCCTTTAGTTGCACTTCGTAAATGGCAAACAACCAAAAATAATTCCCGGTGAATAAGGACATTTTACGGATGGGAAGCTACGCACGTAGCTTTTTACCAGTGTATCGTTAACCCCATATATTATACCGCGAGACAACTTTCCATCAGAGAAGTGTAAGCAGTTACCAAACGACCTTTAATAATGAGCAAATATCGTATAGTTATCTGCAAAAGTCCCCGACATGCCATTTATTTAAAAACAGTAAACGAAAAGTATACATGACAGACTGCAATTAACAATAATCACTGAATTACAGTCTCGATATGCTTAAGCATTCATTTGCACAGGTGTTTCTTTAATTTATTTAATATTTGAGTCTTAGAAGCATGATTTTTTTTATTAGTTGTTATTGGCTTTGAACTAGCTGTCAGTAACTGTGAGTGCTCTCAGATCTGTTACTTAGTGTCTTTTTGTTGTTTGGATGTATAAGTACCTGTCCATGTCCACTATGTGTTTTTGTTAGATGTATATCTTTCCATCTGATGAGTTAAATCTTTTTTAACTGATTTTTATAGTTTGCACTTATATTGTACTGTTTCACCACTGTCCCAGGTTAGGGTGAGGGTTGGCGCCTTCAAACGAGTTTAAACCCGCCAATTGTTTTCTTTATGTGCCTATCCAAAGAGCCTGTAATTCAGTGGTTGTCGTTTGTTGCTGTATAACATATTTGTTTTTCGTTCATTATTTTGTACATAAATTAGGCCGTTAGATTTCTCTTTTGAATTGTTTTACATTTTGTAATGTCAGGGCCTTTTATAGCTGACTATGCTGTATGGGTTTTGCTCATTGTTGAAGGTCGTACGGTTACCTATGGTTGTTTGTTTCTGTGTCATTTGGTCTCTTGTTGAAAGTTGTCTCATTGGGAATCATACCACATATTCTTTTTATATGTACCATAACCATCACACAGATACTTATAACCGATCTTTTTAATAGCTTCTTGTTATTTTTTTTGGGAGGGGGAAGTATTGTTGGCAACAAGGTATTGTATAAATAAGTAAAAGTCCTGAATGCCATCGCACTGAATGAAGGGTGCTTTGCAAGATGTAAAAACTTGCACTGCTCATGGAATTTTAGAAGCTCTCGTTCTTTGTATTAAGTAATCAAAATATTAAATTATACAGTGCTACAGTAACATGTGACCTGCAAATATCAGAAAGGCCTAGGGTTGATCGCTCACAAACATGTTTAATCCCGCCACATTCTTTATGTGCCTGTCCCAAGTCAGTAGCCTGTAGTTATGTGGTTTTTGTTGGTTCATGTATGTCATATTTGTTTTTCGTAAACTCTTTTTTATAATAAATTAGGCCGTTAATTTTATCAATTGAATTGTTTCATATTTTTCATGTCGGTCTTTTAAAGCCGACCACACGGTATGGGGTTTTCTCATTGTTGAAGGCCGTACGGTTGCCTATAAATGCTTACATCCACTTCATTTTAGCTTTGGCGGATAGTTGTCTCATTGGCAATCATACCACATCTCCTTATTTTTATATTGTTTAACTGCTTAGTAAAAAAAGAACGTACACATTTTATTCAAAAATTATTTTATTTTGGTAGGGTAAAGATACTCAAAAATGGGAGAAAGAGTAAAAAAAGCAGGATCCATTTAAAAAAAATTTTGAACTTTTGATTTTTTGAAAACAAACAAATGTACTAAATAAGCAATGAGTTTAAACCACAGCATAACATGAATATAATTAAGTGATATAGTTTATGAGTATGAATTTTATTGGGAAATGAAATGGAAATGAAAGTTGCAATACAATGTCTGTTTCCATGATAGACCTCTGCATACAATAACAGTCCATTTTTCCAGATATGACCTTAACAGTAAACCTTTGAGCTATAATTAACATCAAAGTCAACAGTTTTTTCCGTTTCAATCTATCAACTTCTTTTTTGTTGCCATGGATTTGTCGGCCTCTCTTTTACTTTTCCAGTTTTAATTGTCCATTTGGTATTTTCCGACCCTTTTTGTATATTTTTTTAAAAATAAAATATCTAGTGGTCCTTAAGCATGTATAATCTAGGCTGCGTTTGGATATACGCATAAAGCGGTTTATGGTTAACCATAGGTACCTTTGGTTTTATAGTGTGATGAATAAATATGATCATGGGTGATCTTTTGTACCAACGGTATTATGCATATACTATCCGTAGGTAACAAATCCTACCCATACTTAACAGCAAGGGTAGATGAAAAAGTTATGTCACAAACATAGAGAAAACGTTTCTATCAAAGAGGTGTTAGCAACAACAGTCGGTTATTAAAATGATTCGAGTTTTAAAGTGAACTGGATAGTTACTGAATTTAAGTAATTTTTACTTTTACCAAAGTATAATAATGTATCTGTCATGTTTGAGCTAACGAAACCCATTGTGGAAGTTTTCACCAAATAATAAAACCATATATTATGTTTAATATTTGGGTTTGAAAAATCGGAGGGATTGAATAAGTTGATATCTTTGTACACTCTGAATATTCTGTTGAATGAATAAGTCGATGCTTTCTTACAGTCTAAGAATTATGTTTCTAATAAACAGGGGGATACAATGGAGAAGACTGTACCGACAATGTAGCTAACAGTTGTTTATATACAGGACAGCTGGTCTGTAAGAATGATAACAAATGTTCCTGTTTCAATACAAATACTCACTACTGGGATGCTACATCAATGACATGTAAACCAAGTAAGTTTCAGTGTAATAATAATAGACATATACATCTTATGCCTACCAGAATTAGAAAAAAACAATTGTGTTATGAGTAACGTATTGAAAATTAGACAATGCACTCTTAAAAATAATGTTTCTTTTGAATAAGGTAATGCTTTCTTTTACTCTAAAATTATCATTCTATGGAATAAGGTAATGCTTTCTTTCACTCTAAAAATTATCTTCCTATGGAATAAGGTAATACTTTCTTTCAATCTAAAAATTCTGTTTCTATGGAATAAGGTAATGCTTTCTTTCACTCTAAAAATTCTCTTTCTTTTGAATAAGGAAATGCTTCCTTTCACTCTAAAAATGATGTTTCTTTTGAATAAGGTAATGCTTTTTTTCATTCTAAAAATTCTGTGTCTTCTGAACAAGGTAATACTTTCTTTCACTCTAAAAATTCTCTTCCAATGGAATAAGGTGATGCTTTATTTCACTCTTAAAATTATGTGTCTTCTAAATAAGGTAATGCTTTCTTACACTCTAAAGTTATGTTTCTATGGAATAAGGTAATGCTTTCTTTTACTCTAAAAATTCTGTTTCTATGGAATAAGGTAATGCTTTCTTTCACTCTAAAAATTCTCTTTCTATTGAATAAATTAATGCTTTCTTTCACTTAAAACATTATCATTCTATGGAATGAGGTAATGCTTTCTTTCACCCTAAAAATTCTCTTTCTATTGAATAAGTTGATTCACTCTTCACTCTGAGTATTTTGTTAGTTTTGAATAAGTTGATATCTTCTAACACTCTGAATATTCTGCTACTTTTGAATAAGTGAATGCTTTCATTCACTCTAAATATTCTGTTACTATTGGATAAGTTGATATCTTCTAACACTCTGAATATTTTGTTACTACGGAATAAGTTAATGCTTTTTTCACTCTAAAAATTCTTTTTCTATAGAATAAGTTGATGTCTTCTAATACTCTAAATATTATGTAATATTTGAATAAGTTGATGTCTTTAAACACTCTTACTATTCTGTTACCATTGGATAGGTTGATATCTATTTACACTCTAAATATTATGTTATAATTGAATAATTTGATGTCTTGAAACACTCTGAATATTCTATTACTACGGAATAAGTTATGCGTTCTTTCCCTCTAAAAATTCTGTTACTATTGAATACGTTGATGTCTTCTTACTCTAAAAGTTCTGTGTTTGTCTCGCCTTGACGGAGTCAAAAAACGAGACATAGGTATGCTGCTTCCGGCGGCGTCGGCGGTGGGGGTGTCAACAATGTATTAGTTTGTGATTTTGACTTTGAAAGTTTTGGGTAGTTTACATGTTAAAGTTGGTGATTATATCTGTTTATGATAAGCCCCTTATGGTCAGTCAGCGATATATGGTATGCACACGTATTGGAAGTCATATCATTTCAATGGAAATTATATGGCCCCACCCCCTTATCATGTTTCATTGACTTTGAAACTTTTACATAGTTTTTAAGTTAATGTTTATCTTTAGATTTTTTTAAAGGGAACGACTTTTGATAAGTCAATGATATAATGATATTTGATATGCAGTTGTATTAGCATTGGCACATCTCATTTCTATGGAGATTGTTTGGCCCTGTACTTTCAGTCATGGTTCATTGACTATGAATATTTTGCATAACTGACATGTTAAAGTATTGCTATTTTAATTTCAACATTTGCATTATCAAAATAACAAAAAGGCAAGACACATCTCTATGTTAACAGTGTATTATAGAAGAAGTTGATGTCTTCTTTCACTCTAAATATTCTGTTACTATTGAATAGGTTGAGATTTTTTAAAGTCTAACAGTTATGTTTCTAATAAACAGGGGGAAACAATAGAGAAGACTGCACCTTTGGTGTAGCTAACAGTTGTTTATACCCAGGACAACTAGTCTGTAAGAGTGATAACAGTTGTTCCTGTTCTGAAACAAATACCCATTTCTGGCAGGCTACATCAACATGATCAATGACATGTAAAACAAGTAATTTTCCTGTTAGTTATAGAGGACATACTTTCTATCGAGGATGCATTTTCTGTTGTGGTAATTATTACATCAGCCAATGCAGAGATCCCTTTGTGACTGAGCCCTGCGCCATTTGCCAAAAGTTATTGAAATGTCCCGTTTTAATTTTCCGACGGGTTCATAATATGCAATATAATTTTACAGTGTGCATACTTGCACTGTAAACCAACTTATTTTCGCGGATACTTTATTTCGCCTTTACCCCTTTCTAGACCACTTCGCGGCGATTTAATTTCGCGATTTTCAAAATAACTTGATGTATTTTAATCAGGGAAGATCCAAGTTTTTCATATTTGCTACGATTTATATTGGCGTTATTTTTCTACTCGCGAAAGTCGCGAAAATAAATCGTTCGCGAAAATTAGTTGGTTTACAGTATTACAAAGGTTGCCAGGTCCCAGCAAAACAAACTAGGATATTGCCTTCACGTTATGTGTCAGTGTCGTGTAGTGGAGCAGAACGCATCACTATTGGACCATTACAGTATGTTTTGTCACTTTGAATATCTCTTATTTTCTTTAGTGATACAGTAAACATTTTGGTTATCATCTAAATCTTGGCTTTATGAAATTTTGTAGATAATAAGAACATGCTATGTAGATGTGCATTTCGATAGGAAATTATGATTCAATTTTTTTTCTTGGAGTTATGCCCTTTTGAACTTATATTTTTTGGCCAAAAAATGTCCATTCAACATATTTTTTTTAATAGTTGACCTTTTTAGGAGTAATGAGTATTTGAAATAAGGAATCTGGAGCCTCATAGTCGTTAGATATGTTTTCGAAAGTGTCCCAAGTTACGATATGTCATAACTTTTATCGTAAACTTAAGACCCCTGGTGACATGACTTATGATTATCATAAAAGATACGACATAAATTTAATGCATTTATCTTTACACATGCAGCATCCCATGCTCTCTTTTTAGGACTGTTTGTTGTGTTGTCATTTAATCAACCAAATAGTAAGTATTTAGTAATGAACAATATCTGTAGTTATGCCACTGCTGTTGGCAACGGTGGCATGAAGTGTTATCCTTGACCGTCCTTCTTTCCGTCCATCTCATTTTCGTTCGTCAGTTCCGCACTCTAAGTTTAGTTTTCTTCATCCAAATTCTATGAAGCTTATACACAATGCTGAGAACTAAAATATGCAGACAGTTCGAATTTGGGCAGTGAGTATTTTACCGTTTTAGTGTTATGTCCCTTTATAACTTGTACAATTGCATTTTTTTTCGTCTCGCACTCTAACTTGTATTTTTCTCATTCAAATTTTATGAAACTCAGACACAATGCTGAGAACCAAAAACTCGCATTCAGAGTTTTGATTTTGGCAGTATGTCATTAACGGTTCTAGAGTTATGCGCCTTTATAACTTAAAAAAAATTGAAAAGCTTGAGCGGGGCATTCATGTCTCAGACACATTCTTCTTTTATTTTGTTATGAATTATGCATTAAGTTATTTTTTTACTACACCTTGCTTAATTATGAAGAATCAATTGTATTTTATGACAGAAAAACCATTAGGAGGAGACTGTTCTGCTGCAATTGAATGTCTAGTTGCTAATTCAGAATGTGCTACAAAATGCCAGTGCAGTTTGAGCTTTTATGACACCAATAATGTTGACTTTGGAGGAACATGTGAACCATGTAAGTTCTTCATAGTAATATCTATTGTTTTTGAAGTTTCGAAATCATGCATGCATGCAGAGCGGTAAACTCCCATTGTCCCACTGGGGTAGTCTTGTCATGCCTTTAATTTTATAATTATCAATTCAATAAACATCATTTTGTTCTATAAATTATAATCCTCGTGTTAATTAAAAATACCCCCATCTAACAATTGCTAATTAAATAAAACATGATCTGGACCAGTACTTTTCAATTAATTTTATAGGCAAACTTCAAGTTTGTATGAAAATTGTTTTGAGTTTATAATCGAAAAACATTTATTTTTTAAAGGAATCTAAAAAATGAGGGACTAAATTTTAATGTAATGAATCTAATTAAGTAAAACACAATAGACATTTATTGACACACAGACGTCAAATTATTCTCAACTAATGCATTGGTTTTTTCCCTCTGACATATTTTGTCTGATAACCGAGCCACATATTAAAATCATAATAAATCAAAAATAATCAGGAAAAAGAACTTATATCTCTAAAAGCAATACGAAAAGTAATAAAATTAGGTTAACTGCTTTCTCCTGATAAAAAAAGCCAATATATATGCCCCTTTGTACTGACCATGCAGTCACAACAAAATTATTTTATAATATATTTACATGTTTAAATATGTGCCAACTTCATGACAGATGAAGTATACATTGTATATGATTGCGGTGTTATCCAAAGGAGAAAATCTGTGGTGAAGATATCACATATATAGTTGTTTATAATAAAATGATATTAATGTGACTGCATAATAAGTAATAATATCATCCTTTATCACAGACAAAACAAGGAATACCATCCATATGCGCCCTTGACTAATCAATTACCTAGGCTATAAAATATAGCTTTCCTTAGTCCAACAATGCATTTCATTATTGCTTTTATATAAGGTTGTAATATAGTACATGATGTATAAAATATATATATAAAAAGTAGAATTTGTTGATAAATGCATATAATATGAACATTTTCTCTGATTATAAAAATAGTCTTTTCTGCAGAAAATATTGAGAAATGCTGACTCTTGAATATTAATAGATTGTTCATAGTGCTCTGGATATGAATTCAGAGATTGCAACATGTAATACTATAAATCGATTTGATTCATTGAATAATGGCAATCTTATTTTTGATACTGACTTTATCATCGAGAATATCTAGCAGATCTGCAATAACAACTAGCTGATATTCTAGATGATGAAGTCAATATCAATAAATAAAATGTCACTCTTTCTATTTGCAATTTGTCTAATCAATATGTTTTTCGGTTAGATTATGAAAATATATGAAGTTGTTCAAAAATCTCTTTTAAAGATACAATTTAACATGGTGATAGTTGTTCGGTTGTTGAATGATTTAACATGCATTTCATTGATAAATGGACATCGATGGAAATGAAAAATATTATGTACGTTGCTGCATTGTACGGTGAAATCTTTGTCTAATATTTTCTAGTATCTCAGTATATCGTTTATATAAAAAAAATATATATATAGTAGGCTGTTGTATCAGAGGAAAATATACAGTTGCAAATAATATGACTCTTATTAAAATTTCATTCATATATAGGAAACACTTGACTCTTCTATCTAGCCATCTCATATTTATTTAGGGAACTTTAAAACTATCAATGTTAGTTAACTGAAAGTCAATTAAATCCATATTTCTTTTCTAGTGGAGAACTTGAAAGTAAGCAACATTCAACTTAAAACCAGGTCAGAAACATATTTGGTGATACAATGGACAGCATCCCAAGCAGTAAATGCAGTTGAGGAATACAGATTTTTAGTTGGAGGAACCTCATCAGAAGTATCTGTTGGGAAAGAGCTGGAGGCGAATGTTACTGGTCTAACACCAGGTGTTATGTATACAATTACTGTTATTTCTGTAGACTCTAATAGCAGACCGACTGCACAGAAAACTTCTCCCCAACCTGTTAACCAAGCTACACGTATGTTTTGATTTTAGATATCATTGTATCGATTCCTTTATTTATTTGTTTATGTGTTTGATTTCTTAATTACTGTAACTTCAGAAATTATTGCATTATTAACCCGGTCGCATTATTCGCATTAATAAAAACCTGACAATAATTTCTTAATTTACAGTAATTATTATTTCTTTTTTTTTTAAACAATCGTCTCCTCTAAAACTACATGGATATATGGAATAAAACCTGGCCACAATCATCCTTGTGGCATCTAGTTTGAAAATTATATCTGATGGTCCTGCATGTTAACCAACATAGCAACCAAGGCTTAGAATATGAATAAGAGTCAAATGCAAGTTTTTTCGTCTGTTGTCTTGTAAATCTTTATGGCTAGAATATATCTGACATGGCAAGCATGTTAATGAATAGATCTACATGATGTCTATTTCTAAAAAAAAAAAAATTCAGATGACTCTCATTAGGAGTTATACATTTAAATTACGATGTTTACCATTTTTGTGGTTTTTTACCTATTACACTGACAACTATAATGATAAAATGATAAGAATAAACTTTGAATTGCAAAAATGACCAGAAAAGCAATATCTTAACTAAAGTCTGGGCACTTTCATTTTATTTTATTTAACCTTTAGGGTGAAAGGAGTTTAAGTACTGTATATGAATGCAACGCTTTAAAACAGTGATATCTTAGAACATGCCGAACAATATAGGCAGGGTTGAATTGAATAACAATTGACCCATGGCATGAATTATGGCATTTAACTTACAAGTTTTAATATTTGTTGAATTTTGCAAATGATCTTCAAAACAATAAGAGATATTCAGAAACTGTAAAAGACCAAGATAATCAGATAATCAGCAATGCATGATAATCTAAAAGCCAAAAGACTGATTTCATTAATTGACTTCTTATTGGAGTTGTTATCCTTGAATTCATATTTTTAGAATATGTTTAAGTTTCGCCTATTATCTTGAAAACTAAAATAGATAGATAGAAACTGTTAACAAAGATGATCAAAATCCAAGATATACAGAAAAGCTCATATGACTGAAATCATAAGTTGGCCTCTTAAAGAAGTTATGAAATGACTTATTCAGGGGAACTATTCCAATTGTGTCTGTTATTTTGAAAACTATATTTGATGGACAGAAATTGTAAACATAAAACATGATCAAGATAAGATCTACAAAAATCACAGTCTGAACGCTTAACCACATGCCCAGCAGCTCAGGCTTGTAAAATTTTGAGCTGGTAAAAATCATCTCTACAGGCCAACAGAATATAACTTAAATTTTCCAGATATTGAGCTTCGGGCCTGTAGATTTAAAAGTTTACCGTGTAACTGCTACCAAGTATAGATATTTTCTGGACTTTTATGGATATTATTGCCCTAAAATTACTATTTTGGAAAAATTTACCACTTTTAAAAAGTGTGCCTGTTATGAAAACTATTATATATAGACAGTAACTGTACACAGCAAAAGATCATCAGCATTTATGTTGGAGAAATTTCCCTTTAAAAAAAATCATTTTTTTAACAAACTTTACAAATTTTGCCTTTTATCTTAAAAGCTTTAATAGACAATTTTTTAACAGCAACAATCAACAGCAATATACGAAAATGATAATATAACTATTTTGATGAATTATTATACTTCACTTCTTTAAAATGTCAAATTTTGTCAATGTTTGATAGGTTAAAATGATTGATTGATTGTTGGTTGCTTAACATCCAGTGTCAAATATTTCATGTATATTTAGGATGAGAACACATGTACAATACATTAAATAGGTAGATCCTTTAATAGGGGTTGACCGGGATGAAGGTCAAGAAATTTGGACTGCCACTTGAAAATTAGGGTAAATTGCATAGGGAAAGAAATTTAGCCTTGCAACAGGTCACCTATGGACCATTCAAAGAGTTGTTGCAAGGATTCTTAACGTGCAAAGGATGTTGTATGCTCCCTACACGAAGCATCAGATTTCACGTACCCATTCTGACCATAAGTGGGTGCTAATCTATACATCCCGAACAACCAAACGAATGCCTCACTTTGTCAAGGGTTTAACTGCCGGTTGTGAGAAGACCAAGAAACCATATTTCTATCTCAGTCATCCTTGGGATTGGTTGAAATGACGATGACATTAGACTTAACACATGACTCAGCGGGTGAACATTTTTTTGAATATTACATTTCCTGCAGAACAATAAAAAAAAAAGTGTTTAAAATTTTACGTAAAAATTCAAAAGACATGAATTTAATCTTAATAGATATTTGAAAGACAATAATTGAATTTTATATCAATAATATTAAAGACTTAGTCCTACCTTTTAACCATGGGTCTTCTTCAAGAACTGTCACCCATCAATTATATAGAACTGGCTTAACTTTTTTGTCTTTTCTAATTACTAACATTGTTATGAACATAAAAATGTAGTTTATTACTGTTAAAACAATGATTGGTTAAGAGAGGTAAAAGACGTAAGATTTTAAATTTGAAAAGAAAATAATAACAGAACAATACTTTATAATTCAAATAAAATGAAACATAGCCGAGAGTGTTATACAATGGGTTGACAATGTTTTCTCAAGTCACAACAAATCTGCTCTATCACCATCTCAGTTATGTGTTTTTGTTTATATATTGAACCCTTATAAGTTTTATTTCTCCCTTATTAACCTAGTATCTTTGAAACTATTGACAGATACATAGAAACTGTAAACAGCAAAATGGAGATCAATAAAAAATAATGGAAAATGTTTAGAACATTTCTTGGTCTTAATGTTTATGTTTATATATCAATATGGCTTATTTTACCAGATGAGTGATTGAAGCTTAATGAAACCTCAAATTTAATTGTCACTAATTTAACTAATAATAATTTTACATCAGCTAGTTATTGCAAGCAGAGTAACCTAAAATCCTGATTTTTTTCATTGAAGAAAACAAAGTCATCGAATGTGTTATTTTCTTTTGAGCAATTTAGGATTAAATTTGCCAGATGGGTTAAACCTCCAAGGAGCATGTTATAGTTTTTGAAAGAATATCGATGATTATTCCATTTAACAAGGCACAAAAATTGTTATAACTCTGAAATATAAGTCTTTCTAAAATGTCTTTTTCTAGCACCGTTTTTAATTTGACCTGATTCAAATTCTAGTAAAAATGGATTAATACTCTAGGCAATCAAAGGTAGAATATTTCAGTTATTCTATAACTATTATAATACCAAAGCCAGTGAACATTTTTGTCACAGAATGAATAGTAAAAAAAACCAGAACATTCGTGGATAAAGATTTAATACTTTACCTTTTATAACTTTTGCTAATAGAGCCTGCAGTACCAGGACCCATAGATCTGGTCAACAGTGATCTCACAGCTTCAGAAATGCAAATTACAATCAGATGGAAGTCTACGGGAACAGTTATGTCTTATACTGTAACTATCAGTGAACTGGTTATAAATCCAGCTGTAGTAAATGTTCCTTCATATGTGATTGGTGGTAATGTAGCTAAAAATGGACACAGATACACACTTACAGTAAAGGCCCATAGTAACAGTCTAGAGAGTGCTGAATATACAGAGGAGTTTCGAACTGTGATTACACGTAGGCAGAATCAGTTAATAAGCCTTTAACTACAAAAAAAAAATTTATGAGCCTCTTGTTATTTGACTGGGAATTGTAACTTCAATGGATTTAATTACACTTGTTGGAAATACTTATTCTATTTTCAAAGAAGAATATAAGAAGGAAAGATAATGTTTATTTTAAGAATAACTTTTTTTCAGAACCAAATCCACCTATAATACAAAGTTGTACAGAAATAATATCAACTAGTATAGATTTGGTGTGGCAAGAATCTTTATTACCAATTGGAGATGTCCAGTACTACCTGATAGACACTAATGGTGCTTCAGCTCCTCCACAGATAAATACATCTACAAGTGTAACTACATATCAAGTTGAACCTCTTCTTGCCGGTATATACATAGATATAAGAAGATGTGGTATAAGTGCCAATGAGACAACAATGTATTGAATTAAATTAACCTGGTCCTTTATTGGCAATTTGAGCTTATGCCAGTTTTTGCCTTATATCTCAAAAACTAAAGCATTTAGAGCAAATCTGACACGGGGTAAAAATGTTCAATAGGTCAAGATCTATCAGCCCTTACATTTTCAGACGAACCGAACAACCCATTGTTGGGTTGCTGCCACTAAACTGGTAATTTTGAGGACATTTTGCAGTTTTTGGTTATTATCTTGAATATTATTGAAGATAAAGATAAACTGTAAACAGCAACATTGTTCATCAAGGTAAGATCTACAAAAAAGTAAGATCACCAAAATTGTCAATTGACCCCTTTTAAAAGGAATTATTGTCCTTTAAAGACAATTTTACACAATTTGTTCTTCATGTTTGGTAACATTTAAAAATCTTCTCCTCTGATACTACTAGGCCTAATACTTTTAAACTTTAACTGAATGTTTCTTAGGGTAACTGGTTTATAAATTATATCCGAAGTTTTGATCAATTAACAAACATGGCCGCTATGGCTAAAAATAGAACAAAGGGGTCAAATGCTTTTATCTCAAAAAACTATAGCAGTTAGAGCAAAAGTGTCATCGAGTTAAAGTGATGAATAAGTCAAATTCTATCTGATATGAAATTTTCAGACTAATTCGACCACCCATTGTAGGGTTACTGTCCGAAATAGTTTATTTTTATGAAATGTTACTGTTTTTGGTTATTATCTTTATATTATAATAGATAAAGAGAAAGTGTAAATGGCAAAAATGTTCAGCTAAGTAGGATCTACAAACAAGTTAAATGATCAAAATAGTCAATTGACTCCTTAAGGAGTTATTGCCCTTGAAACGTTTATTTTTTACATTTTTTCGTGCAAGTCTATTACCCTTTTCAAAAAATCTTCTTCTCTGAAACTACTTGGCCAAATACTTCCAAACTTTAACTGAATGTTCCTTAGGGTATCTAGTTTGTAAAGTGTATCCGAAGTTTGATCCATCATTTAACATGGTCGCCATGGCTAAAAATAGAACATAGGAGACAAGAGCAGTTTTTGGCTTATATCTCAAAACTACAGCAGTTAGGGCAAAAGTGAAAGAGAGTTAAAGTGATAAATGGGCTATGATCTATCTGTTATGAAATTTTCAGACAAGTTCGACAACCCATTGTTGAGTTACTGTTGGAAATAGTGTATTTTTATTATATTTGACTGTTTTTTGTTATTTTCTTTAATATCATAATAGATAGAGAGAAAGTATAAATGGCAATAAATGTGCAGGTAAGTAAGATCTACAAATAAGTCAACATGATCAAAATAGTCAATTGACCCCTTAAGGAGTTATTGCCCTTAAAACGTTTTTTTTTTACATTTTTGTGAAAGTCTAATTACTTTTTCAAAAATCTTCTTCTCTGAAACTACTTAGCCAAATACTTAAAAACACTAATTGAATGTTTGTTAGGGTATTTAGTTTATAGATTGTATTCGGGGATTTGATCCATTCAAAATTCTCATTGGCACTCATACCACATCTTCTTATATCTAAACACATGGCGGCAGTTCCAAAAAATAGAGCATAGAGGTCAAATGAAGATTTGGCTTTCATTTCAAAAACTAGAGCAGTAAGAACAAAACTGACATAGATGTAAGTGTTAAACAGGTTTAAATCTGTCAAGTAATCTTCAGACCAATGGGATAACTTATTGTTGGGTTACTGTCCAGAAATAGTTTTTAGGAAATTTCACAGTTTTGGGTTATGTATTATCTTTAAAATTATTATAGAAAGAGAGAAAATGTAAATGACAAAATTGTTCAGCAAAATAATATCGACAAATAAGTTAAATGCCTGAAACTGAAATTACAGATGAGCGATATCAGACTCTCATGAGCCTCTTGTTTACTTTTATATTCATATATAAGTCTAATTGAAAATTTGAATTGAATACATTTACTAGATTAACTATACATTAACTCAAAATTTATTCAGAATTAATTTTGAAAGCTTTGGTGTTTTGTTGTTTTTTCTTTGTTTTTATACCGGTACCAAGAATGCTATGAATGATAGTTTAGAGTCTACCTGTTGAAGGTTATGTGCACTTTAACCATAATCATAATCAATGATGTATTATATCCTGAAATGGACTATTTGCACAGACGAATTACATTGACCATTTATACATTTCTGATATATTCTGTATGTCGCCTTCTTTGAGACATATGGATGAAGTGTTTCCGTAGAATTTTATCTATGTTGTCAATAAAGAATTAAAGTTTGCAGAATTTTAACGTCCTCTACTTCAAGTTTTAAATTGCTGGTTTGTACCTAAAATATTGTAAGTAATAGAAAGACAACAACCATACATTGTCTCAAAATATAACTTTTATTTGTACTTGGCTAGAAATAGGATAGAAATGATGAGTATCACCTCTTTCTCTCCTTGTTTCTAAGCCTTGTACAAAAAATTATATATTTGGAGACAACTTTTGCTTATTCTATTCATATTGTACATATGACTTCAACCCCTTTCAGTGTGGGTAATATATATATACGTATTTACATTGTATCATGAATCAAATTTATTCGTTCAGTGTATATTCACTTGTGTTAATATGTCTTTTGATTGAGTTAAGCCATTTTAATTGATATATTATAGTGTGTCTTTCTATGTTGTGATGTTACACTATTGTTTCAGTTAAGGGTGAAGGTTTGGTACCATTAAAACGTTTAAACCAACCCGCTGCAATTGTTTGCACCTGTCCTAAGTCAGGAATCTGATGTTCAGTAGTTGTCGTTTGTTGATGTGGTTTATAAGTTTTTCTCGTTTCTCTTTTTTTATATAGATTAGACCGTTTGTTTTCCCGTTTGAATGGTTTTACGCTAATATTTTCTGGGGCCCTTTATAGCTTGCTGGTCGGTGTGAGCCAAGGCTCCGTGTTGAAGACCGTACTTTGACCTATAATGGTTTACTTTTATAAATTGTGACTTGGATGGAGAGTTGTCTTATTGGCACTCATACCACATCTTCTTATATCTATGTATATATATCTATATATAAAATAAGTATTGTTAAAATATTCACACTGACGAAGGCAAAATATTTGTCGACACGATTTTATAACATCATCCTCGTATATTACCATCTTATATTAGTACTGCGCAAATCTTGAGACTTTTATATTTTTTTCCTTATCTGCGCAGAATCGTCTATTCTAGACGATCTGGTACATATTGAATTTGCTGGTTATCTTTTTTATAGAATTCTATATAATACATATATTTGCATTCATCTAATTGATCCAGTTGTCTGTTGTCAATTTACCTTAAATTAATTTATTTGTAATGTTGAATATGACAGTATCTTATGATTTGTTATTCACCTACATCTAGTTTAATGTAATTAATTTCTGATATTCCATGTTTTGTTTTTGCAGCAAACACATATTGCTTCTTTGTTAGAACAGTAAATGATGGAGCAAAGGACATCCAGGTCAGCGGGAACAGTAATCAGTTGTGCTGTAGAACCAAGGCAGATTGTATGTATACTTCTTTTTTGTTTAATAATTTTTCAGAAAAAGAAGAGCTTTATAGGTCTGAAATTTATATCACACACAGGCTATTCTCTAAAAGTCTTTCAATCATTGTTAGAAATTCAAAGTATCAAAGCCACATATGTGTATGTTAAGGTTCTAACAATATTTTGACTGACTGAACTTTCTGTTACACATAGATGAGACAGAGTTGTAAACGCACAACCTGAAATTTGAATATTTTCAGTAGGAGTTTTGGTCTCTGAATAAGAGATGTTTTTCTCAACTAATTTTTCAAGGTTTCCATGTTCATTTTGCTTGTGAAACTTTAGTTTTATTCCAGTTTTAGCTCACCTGGCCTAAAAGGTCTTTGGTGGACTTCGGCTGTTTTCTGTTCTTTGGTCGGGTTGTTGTCTCATTCCCCGTTTCCACTCTCAATTGTATTTTCTCATTATTTGGTGTTCCTCGTAAACACTTTCAAAGATCTTCTTCTCTGAAACTACTGAACCAATTACAACCAAACTTAAGGATATCTAGTTTAAAGTTTTGGAGTTTTTCCTGATCAGTCAACATACGTGGCTGTCATGGCTAAAAATAGAAACCAGTGTAAAATACAGTTACAGTATTGTCTTAATCTTGAACACTATAATACATAGAGAAAATCTGACAAAGACAAAAATGCTCAAAAGGTCAAGATCTTCCTACCCTCCTATTTTCACCAAAATTTCTTCCTAAGGTGTTATTGATAATGATTAACAATTTTTTGACTTATTTAAGTTTTTTTTTTGCGCTATTATCTTGAAAACTCTTATAGGCAGGTGTAACCTGTTAGCAGAAATTAAAAATCTGCAAAGATGCCAACAGAACGTTTCTCCTCTAAAACTATTGAAACAATTTGAATAAAATGATTGAATTTTATATCTGCAAACCAAACAACATGGCCAACATAGCTAAAAGTAGAGCATAGTGGTAAAAGGCAAATTTTGTCTATTTTCTTGAAAACTGTTATAGATATAAAAAAAATCTGAGAGGACTTGAATGTCAAGATCTATCTATTGTCCCTTTCAACAAACATTGTCAGAAAATCCCTATAGTTATTGCTCTTAACAGACATTTTTTACCCATTGTTTTACCCATGTATTCAGCTATAAAAAGGAAAATAAAGTCAACATTGAAAATGAAACAAGGGTAAACCATTTGATTGACTGATTTGATCCAGAAAAAAATCATTCTTGTACAGGTAAAATTGATGATAAACATACTTGTTAACCTACAATAAGAATCTAATAGATCTAGAAAAATCCAATTGCATTGGGTCGTTGCATTTATATTTATGTTTATATCAGGTTATATGACCGTCTGCAGTTTTCAGAGGTCATCTCGATGGTTAATTAGATGATGTCTAGACAAAAATACTGATACATATTATTGAGTCTGTGCATTGTTTAATGTTTATTTTAGACTTTTTGTAATTTGGATATATAGTTTTAGTATGTTAAATATATGAGAATTTGAGTAAAATTGGTGAACATGAATATAACAGCTAATACATCTTTAAAACACAATAGTTACATTGTTCATGTATAAATATACACTTGAACCAGATCTTGGCAATATTTTAAAGTTGAAACACGAGATTCAGGTTAAATCAAATAGGGATTACATGGACAGTTGAACTATTTTTTAAAATAATTCCAAATATCAATGGACACAATGGCGATTATATCCCTCAGAGCGATCCAGCTCTTCGATTTTTTTTTGTTCGTCCCACCAAACCTTAAATTTTTAGAAAAAATATAATTATACAATAGAAAGGTAAAACTGTAATTAGAAAATATGATAAGCAAAACAAGATCTACATAAATGCCATCATCTCTGGATCTTGATCCTTAAAGGAAAATTTTAGACTTATTTTTATAGATTTGTCCTAGAAGTTTGAGAGGATAAGATTTTGGTGAAATTGAATGGTGCCACATGTTTAGCAGGATATGAGCACCTGAAATCACCCCGGTTTTTTTTATGTTTTGTGTTGCTCAGTCTTTAGTTTTCTATGTTGTGTTTTGTGTACTGTTTGTCTTTTCGTCGTGTTTTGTTTTTTGCCATGGCATTGTCAGTTTGTTTTTGACTTATGATTTTGAATGTCCCTTTGGTATCTTTCGCACCTCTTCTATAAATATATATAGTATTTCATATATAAAAAATAATATGTGATATAATTGACAATGAGACAACTCTTCGCAAGAAACAAAAATGACACAGAAATTAAGGTCACCATACGGCCATCAACAATGAACAAAGCCCATACCGCATAGTTAGCTATAAAAGGCCCCGAAATGACAAATGTAAAACAATTCAAACGAGAAAACTAACGGCCTAATTAATGTACAAAGAATGAACGAACAACAAATATGTAACACAGCAACAAACGACAACCACTGAATTACAGGCTCCTGACTTGGAACAGGCACATACATACAGAATGTGGCGGGGTTAAACATGTTAGCGTGAGTCCAACCATCCCCTAACCTGGGACAGTGGTGTAACAGTACCACAAAAGAACGAACTATAAAAATAAGTTCATCAGATGGATACAAACAGAAATACATCTAACAAAAACACAGAGTTGATTTGGCCCGGTACCTGTACATCCCAACAACAAAAAGACACTAAGTACAGATCTAAGAGTACTCGCAGTTACTGACAGCAGTTCAAAGCCAATAACAACTAATAAAAAAAATCATGCATTTAAGACTAAATTATCAATCAGTACACATCCAACATCCAATGGATTTAGTGTAAAGACGTCATAAACAGTTAGAGAAAAACATGACATTGTGCATTGCCAAGATACAGGTATCGACAGATTGTAGATCCATGAAAGTGAATATGTATATAACAATAATATATAGTTTGCTTTTAATTTACTGATAACAAAATCAATATTGATACCAATAAAAACAATATTCAAAGATCTAATTACAGTGTTGAATTGGTAACCTTTTAGAATAAGTTTATTTTAAGGATCGATAAGTTTACCAGGATCGTTTCTAAATTTCCGGGCACGGATAAGCAACATCTCCGTAAAAATGAGAATGTGCTATCCCGTTTGAATAAGTTTTCTACAGGTACAAAAACTTCAAAACCAAATCTTTATATCTATGGAAGATTTTAGTAAATGTTTTAAGTAATTTGTGGTAACGAAATCCCTGACTTAATAATTTACCAGTAATACATAGATTACGTTCATTAAAATTCAAAACGTCACAACAGACACGGGCATAGCGAACGAGTTGTGAAATATTAATACTGCAAGATGTTGCCAAAGGAACATCACCATACAAAAAAGGAAAAAATTAACAATAGGGAACAAAAAATTAGTGTGGAGTTTCCCATGTAAAAATGTAATATCTAAATCAAAGAAAGGACAGTTATTACCGTTTACATTTGATTTATTAAAAGTAAGTTCTTTTAGGTAACTTTCGGCAGCATATTTAGAAAATTCTTGATTATTTAACGAAAAAATATCATCAAGATAACGGTAAGTGTTGTTGAATTATCAATTAAATGCAATTTAGACAGGTCTTCATTGAGTTTGGTCATTAACTGTGATTCAGAACAGTACAAAATCAAGTCTGCTATTAAAGGGGCGGAATTAGTGTCAATAGGAATACCTACAAACTGTCGATAAACTTTGTTGCCGAAACGTACATGAATATATATTCTATTGAGTTCATTTCATATTTCTTAAATGGTGAGGTTTGAGTTTTGAACAGCATCAAAGTACAGAGTTGTTTTGACACACCTTTAACCATTGCCTTTCTTTCACTTTTAATCATTAAGATGTGTGCCTCAATTCAAACGATAAACTTACACCCTGATGTATGTGAAAAACAATAGATAAAAAAAAACAAATATTATAACAGCAACAAACGACAACCAATGAACTACAGGCTCCTGACTTTGGACAGGCACATACAGAATGTGGGTATGGCTGATAATTTTTGCTGTTTACAGTTTCTTCTTATTGAAGATATGGTGTATATTTTTATCAAACGAGTCGGGTTTATTATTATAAAAATAGCAAAATAATTAGTAGAAAAAAATCTATTTTGTCAATAGTCTAGTAAACACAATTCAAGAACAGGATTTGTCAACATTTAAAAAAAAGTAAGTAATTCATTAATATTTGCTCCTGTTATTTACAGCATCAAGTGAACCGACAAGTGTAACAACAAATGTTTTGTCAAGTAGAAACATTTCTGTTACATGGAACTATCCAGACAATCCAAAAGGAGATATATTTGGTTACCGTTTACGTCTTAAAGTGAACGATATATGTCAGGTGGAAATAATATTCTATTGTCATGAATGTCCTAATGCAGTAAGTAGTTCAGCAGATAAAATGTTATTTTTGATTTAAGGCAAAGGATACGTTATTAGATGATATTTCAGATTTTGATAAGAATTTGTTATACTTTACAACTTGTTGAACTGCATTGGTTTTCAAGCTGATCAAAAGGGTTTGAAATGAAATTTTGCGTTATTTCAACAAAAATTTAATTCTTTGGGCCCTTGCTATGGTGAATTTAACTCTGTTTTTTAGATTTTTGATTTCGGGTCAATGTTTTCAAATTGGAACATATTAAGGTCCAAAGGGTCTAAAATTAAATGAATTTTTGGGATTCTTTGATATGTTGAATCTAAACATGTATTTAGATTTTTGATTTTGGGCCCAGTTTTCCAGTTGGTCCAAATAGTGGTCCAAAATTAAAATTTATCTATTCTTTACAAAAAATGAATTTTAAGGGGTTCTTTGATATGCTGAATTTAACCATGTATTTTTATTTTGGGCTCCGTTATCAAATTGGTCCACATTGAGGTTCAATGGGTCCAGAGTTAAATTCTATTTGATTTCATCAAAAACTAGATTCTTGAGGTTCTTTGATATGCTGAATGTTACAATATATTTATATTTGGGATTTGGAATATGATAGGTAAATGTTCAATTCAAATTTCAAAGTACTTAGACCACATTCATTAGGTGTCAGAAACCTATTATGTGTCAACTATTTAATCACAATCCAAATTCAGAGCTGAATGTTGTGTCCATACTTGCCCAACTGTTCAGAGTTCCATTATTGTAGTTGCATCAAGCTGCACCTTGCAGAGGATTTTATTATACTGAGCCTGAATATGTTTGTTCCTTCTGCTTGGAATGCATAACACACTAGTTCAAAGATAGAGCTCTTCCATCCGGACATTTTGAACTGTCAAATAATTTTTACTAATTTCAGTTAAAAATATGCCAGAAAGGGTAAGCTATATATAACTTTCAACATGGTTACAAACAACAGTGTGATGACTACGTAACCTATTCTTTTTTTATTTCTTCTACAGCAAGACATTCCATACAAGGATTGTGGAGAAGATAAACAAAGACAAACAATAAATCTGAATAAAAACCAAATCAATACAACCATCAACTATATCGTTGAGCAATTATTACCATACACTAAGTATGATGTGTGGATTGCAGCACATGATACAGCAAATGATGGGATGAGACATGATTCAGAAGTACAGACAATATCTGAAGGTAACTGTTCCACAAAGTTAGCTTCTGAAAAAAGCCTTAGTGTATCTTGACTGTTACTTATTTTGATTTAAATGATTGTGTCTCGCACTTGATTTTCACTAATTTGACCATCCCAAAACAAGTTCAGTAATTGCTGTTTTCCGAATGTTTGTAATTGTTTAATCAATGAAACTTGTATAACCTACATCAGTGTGTGAAATCTTTTTCTGTCTTTCCTTGCAAAATTGGACAGGATCTTTTTATTTCAACTCACTAAAATGAAGTCAGCTTGCCAGCTTGTTCAGTGACTTATTTACATTATGTTGAGTGTGCTACATTTATGTTGCAAAAGCAAACATAGCGAGCCTAGATTCCGGCGGTGGCATCACTTTAGGTACAGTCTGTGGTTTATTTTATTTAAACACAAATATATTTATCAAACCCTTATGAAATTTCAGGAAATTTGGACAGAAGATTGTTAATGACCAAAACACAGTATCCAGAGCAAAAGTTTGAAAATAATTATTTTCATTTTCCGTATTTTAATGATAAATGGACTTAGTTTCTTTTACAGTTATCATTCAGATTTAGTCTGAAGTTAAATATTTTCAGTCATCAATAACTTTGTCAAATCTTCATTGAAATTGATGAAATTTGAACAGCTGCTTGTTTATGACCAAAGATACAGTATACAGAGCAACATTTTGAAATATTTATTTTCATTTTTCCGAATTTGACTGATAAATTGAGTTTTTTTACATTTAACAAGTAAATACAGCCTAGGATTTATGTTTTTCAGTCATCCATTACTTTTTCAAATTCTCATGACAATTTATGAAATTTGAACAGCTACTTGTTTATGACCAAAAAATAAACAGTATACAGAGCAAAATTTTTAAAATATTTATTCCAATTTTTCCGTATTTGACTGACAAATGTGTTTTTTTATTTTACATTTAACAAGTAGACGCAGTCTTGTTAAATATATAAAAAAAAGGAGATGTGTGTGGTATGATTGCCAATGAGACAACTATCCACCAAAGTTCAAATAAATTGAATGAAAGTAATTATAGGCAACCATACGGCCTTCAAAAATGCGAGGAACCCATACTGTATAGTCGGCTTTAAAAGGTCACTACATGAAAAAAATGAACCAAATCAATTGAGAAAATTTAAGGACTAATTTATAACAAAACAATTTACGAAAAACAAATATGACAGACATGAACCAATGACAACCACTGAACTACAGGCTCCTAACATGGGTCTGGCACATAAAGAATGTATGGGGTTAATAGATATAAGAAGATGTGGTATGAGTGCCAATGAGACAATTCTCCATCCAAGTCACAATTTATAAAAGTAACCATTATAGGTCAAAGTACGGTCTTCAACACGGAGCTTTGGCTCACACCGCACAGCAAGCTATAAAGGGCCCCAAACATTACTAGTGTAAAACCATTCAAACGGGTAAACCAACGGTCTAATCTATATAAAAAACGAGAAACGCGAAACACTTATGAACAACATCAACAAACAACAACTACTGAACATCAGATTCCTTTCCTTAATGGTACCAAACCTACACCCTTATCTGAAACAATAGTGTAACATCACAACATAAAAAGACACACTATAAAATATCAATTGAAATGGCTTAACTCAATCAAAAGACATAAACACAAGTGAACATACACTGAACGAATAAATTTGATCTATGATACAATGCAAATACAAAATCAATAAAATAAGGGACGAATAATTAAAGTAACAGTATTATACCGCTGTGAAATGTTAAACAATTTCAGAAAAACAACAATAACCTTAAACAAAAATCCGCCATTCACAATAAGATTATAAACAGGTAAATGAAAATAATTTTGTTGTTAGGTATACAGTTTAAAAGGAGAAAGGAAATATTTTTACAAAATAAATAATTTTGATGTTCATAGTTCGAAGAAGTGAAAATTTATAGTAATACCAAACACTTATCAAAGCTGGTATATATACCAGATATATTACCCTGAATAAGTAAACATTAAATAACAAAAAAGCATTACAAATAGTATCAACAGGTCAAATTAACAAGAAAGTACGATTTGAGAGTACTCGCAGTTACTGACAGCTAGTTAAAAGCCAAAAACAATTAATAATAAAAAAATCATGCATCAGAGACTAAAATCAACTAAAACACATCCCAGGGATTTAGTATTTTAACGTAATGGACAGTCAAAGAAGACATGACTTGTGCAATTCCAAAAATAAATGTATCGACAGTCATAGGATAGTTAGGAGTTAACCTCTTAATAGATAAAAATGAACGTGGGTGTGTCTTTATACATCCCGTTTGAAAAAAATACAAATTTAGTTATGTTTGAATTTGCTGATGACAAAATCGATATAAGTGCCAATGTAAACTATATTCAAAGATCTAAATACAACATTGGTGAGATAATCTTTACTAATAACTCTGTTTAAAGATTCGATGAGTTTACACGGATCACATAGTGATTTCCGCGCTTTTAGGACAATATTACCGTAAAATTTAGTATGTGAAATACCGTTTTTAATAACTTTCCTACAGCCAAATTTACTAATCAAATCTTTTTATCATGTTTGTGTTAACCAACCCCTTAACCTGGGACACTGATGTAACAGCACAACTAAAAACAAACTATAAAAATCAGTAGAAAAGGGCTTAACTCATCAGATCGATACATAACAGACAAACAACAAACAAAAACACAGACCATTTGTCCATCCCTCCCCCTTACATAAAAAAAGCCACTAAGTACAGGCCTGAGAGTACTACCATTTACTGACAGCTATTTCAAAGCCAACAACAACTAATAAAAACAATTATGTATCTAAGACTAAAATTTTTTTCCACAGAAAACGCCAATTTTTGAGAAAATATCCAAATTCGGAGACCGTTATCGATCCTTGTCTTATACGCTTTCGTGCATGCTCAATCGACGTACTGGTCGCATAATATAACTTTTTATATAAATAATATAGGACAATGGTGTTGATTAAAAATTACACCATTCCAGGCCCTTTTGTTTTCCACATAATTAATATTGCAATAATTAACAATTTCCGGGTCGAATCCCATACCGATTCAAATAGACTAAGTATATGTCACAAAATTACCTGATTCCTGTTACCTAATCTGTACGTTCTGCTTCTGTCAGGCGCACAACCAAACGGTGTATTCAGGAATTGCTATAAACAAAGGTAATAATCACACCTGAACTTCGTCATTATGTAGGGAATAACTTTTCACATTAAAATCAGAGTGACTTTACCAAATAACAATACGAGTTCTAAAAATCCAGGCTAAAAATAAGGCGTAGGTTCTTTAATTCAGTCACGGATCCGTGATGTCGCAGGTACGGTCTAGTTTGATTAAACTTTGGCAGAAGCTTTTATTATGATTGAAAGATAATGTGTGATTCAAACTTTTGAAAATATCATTTTTTCTCATTTTCAGTATTTTTCGGATAGTTTTTTTACAGTAAACATTTACAGACAGTCTGGGATTAAAATCTTTTTAACATTTTAAAATTTTTAAATCTTTCTGGATTATTTTGAAACTTGGACAGAAGCTAATCTTCAAGACCATGAAATAGCATTTAAAGAAAAACATTGGATTTTTTTTTAAATGCTATGTTTACTGATAAATTGACTCACTTTTTAACTCATCTGACAAAAAAGGCAATGCTTTTGCAATCGCTTTTTGTCATTGTTATTGTCCCGGTCTGGCGTCCGTTAACCTTTTTTGTTGTTGTAAACATTTTTTAAAATCTTCTCCTCTGTAACGATTGGGCCAAATGTTACAAAACTATACCTAAATATTTCTTTAATTATCATGTTTTAAAATGATATCTGGGGATTTGATTAATTAACAAATATGGCAGCTGTTGCCTAATTAAAGTGGGGAAAAGAAAACCCAGTTTGGAGTTATTGCCCCCTGAAATGTTAATTTTTGGAAACTTTTACCGTTTTTTGTCAAGGCCAAATGCGTGGCGGGTGAGATAGAAATTCTGGGCGTTTTCTGTCCGTCTTGTCTTGTAAGCGCTCTCACATGATCTTTATAAAATTTATAACATAGGTTTATATCAGCAATGTCTTGGACGAGTTCGAAAAACAAAAACCAATCTTTTATTTTTAAAAGAGTAATGCCCTCTGAAATATTAATAACTTAGAAAACTGCATTGTTAGTGCTCTCATGTCTATAATTTTTGCAAGATTTTTAAGAAAGTTATTTTATACGTTTAATCAGCAATGTCACGGACGAGCTCGAAAACCAGTGCCGATCAATTAAAATGTATGTTTAGAATAGTTATACCCTTTGGAATTATTGATTATATTGAAAACTGCATTGTTAGCGCTCTCATGTTTACTTTTCTTGGCAAATTTTGTCAAATTGATATCAAAGGTTTATTTCAGCAGTGTTGTGGACAATTTCGTAAATCAGTGCCAATCAAATATTTGTTAAAGCGTAAGTTGCCTTCAAATGATGACTTTTACATTTTTGGTATTTTTTATATGACCCTCATTGCCAATTTCTAAATGTAAGTCAAGATATGAAGCAAACTGTACTGTATCAGTTGTATTCAAGTAAGTCAACATTGCCAAATTGTCACACTAGTTATAAGACTTGTCGCTGTTAAATGACGTCGTTTTATCTCAAAATGTTTTATAAATAGCTTAAAACTGTAAACAGTCTGGCATGTATCATCTGACCTTGACCTCATTTTAAAGGTTCATTGGTCAATGTTAAATTTTCGTGATCTAGTATGTTTCTTAGATGATACAATTAGTAATGGGTCAAATGTATTTGGTACATGGATTGATTATGTGGTATACTTATCTGTAGGGCAGAGTTTATCTTATTTAAACCTCATTCTTATAGACCATTTATAATGTTAAGTTTATGTGATATTAATTGAAGTTAAAGACTTTTAAAAAATAAATTCAAACATTGTCAATAAAGCAGGCAAGACATTTCAGAAATTGCACTCTTGTTTTAATTTTACCTTTTATCTAAAAAAATAATAAAGATCCATCGAAAATACCTCCCTATTTTAAAGATCAGTCTGTAACCATCATTTCTTAAACCTTTACCAAACCAATTGCAACTAAAAGTTTCAATTACAAATACGTGTTGCAGGATCTCAATATTTTTTAATGCATTTTCAAATCCATGTTTGGCATGTCCGGGAATTACAAAAAAGACAGGAATGGTTTAATTATATGTTGCTGTCAAGTGATTATCAGGGTAGGAACTGTTATTGTAATAACAAAAAGTTTATCTTAATGGTGTCCATCCTAAGACAAAATACTACCTAATCATAAAATGGGAACAGTGTGAATCCTTCTACATGAATCAAATTTGCAGATCCGTATAGCAAATAAGTTTAGTAAATTTGTATAATGTTGCAAGTATATACTGTACATGATCCAATTTTTGTCAAGTTTCCTCGTCAATCCCTTAACACTTAGTTTATTGATGGCTACTTCGAGCGTTTTGTTCATGCAACTTTGTAGATAACTAGTTTATTCTAAAGATGTAACAAGTTATTGTTTTATCGTTAATACAGTTCCACAGAAGCCTTTGAGTGTAATTGCCTCAGTTATGGGCTCAAGTGAAATAGTACTAACATGGAAACAGCCATCACCTAGACCTGGAATTACAACATATTATATCAAAGCATATGAAGTTGTTTTAAATGCTCAACCAGCACTTGTCGAATTATCAAACACAACTGGTAAGTTTGTTATTTGCTTTTGATTTTTTTTTATATTCAGCAGATTTAACATATAATTGTATATTTGTTGTTAACTTGTATGATATTGATTTGATTCATAATTGATTGAAACTAACTCACACACACTACCTCCTAAGTCCAATTAAGAAAAAAACATTTATTAAAGTGCATAGTCGTGAGTATAGATGTTTGGAATAAATCAATAAAACAACATTATATTTTATTCACCAGCGCCAGAGCGCCAGGACAGCTCGAAAGTATAAGTGTCGACGACAATGAACATGACAATAGACTAAAATACAAAGACAATATATGAGTGTCCTTAAGTTCCAAAGATCCACGAGGGGTTCTAGAATTATCGCTATTCAAAAACGATAGCAGAAATTCCTAAGCGAAAGTTGGAAGACCCCTATATTATCACAATATATATTTTGTCGTAACGTTTTGGAGGGAAAGGGGAAACAGTTTGAAAGAGAACGAATAAGTCCGTCTGAATTTGCCTAACCACTAAAATTCAAAAATGTTAATCTTTGCTGCATATCAATACATTTGTCAATATTGTTATTTACCCGAACTTTTCCTTTTATACTTATAACAAGTAGCGCCATCGCGACACCGCGCAAAACATTGAAGAGTTAAATTTTACACTGTTTGAAGGGGAGGTGATATTTTGCCAAGAGATTTTCACTGGGGTATCCGCAAAAAATATCTTGGATATTTAATGAGTTAACTTTCGGCAAGTTTAAATTCACATCTGTTTTAATATAATATTCTAAACATCAGATGCAGACGTATTCTTTTCATAGCACAGAAGTATAAACAAGAATATCGAACCCCAAGGTAAATTAAAAAAAAGGAGAAGTCTATATAGATAATCAACTTTAAAAATGGCAATGGACTACAGATAGAAGTTCAAAATCATACATATTCTAAGTAATAGAAAAATTGCAAATCAAAGAATAAGTAATACAGTCTAACCTGTTTATAAAGGTCACCCTTGGGAACAAGACAAAAGTAACCTTATAAGAGAGTTGATATTTCAATCGAGGTTCAAAATGCCTTGTATTAATACAGCGGGACAAGAAGATCTAGAGGATGACCAGACAAGAATGAATTTCGCTTAAAAGAGTTGGCCTTCAAAGCAACTTTGACTGTACTGGCATTGTTTCTTTTAGGTTTTAGCCCACAGACCACAACGTTTTCAGGATTAGAAGCATATTGGAACTATACATTTTCTGTAGTGGCTGCTACAGACAAAGGCAATAGTGAACAATCTGAAATGTCGGTTATGGTGACTACACATCAAGATGGTATACATTTATGATATCTTATTTATTATCAATAATCAACCAACATATCAATTGTCGCTTTGCCTTTTCACTATTCTGCGCTCAAAACATTTTCGAATAAAGCCTTTAAATGGGTATTCGGAATCATAAATATGTTAAGGAGCTATCAGTTTTTCAATGCAGTATGTTCTTTTTAAGATCTGATGACAACGTTTATGAATCTTAAACACATATTTTTACAAGTATTTTAAACGCTCAGTTTTTGTTGTTTAATTTTTGCTTATCTTGTTCTTCTTTCTCATGTTTCTAACTTAAAAACAACAGTATATGTTGATCCTCAGAATTGATATTTTCAGTCGTTTTTTTATCAACCTTTTGTATATGACCGTTTTTGTGTAATCATATTCATTCCAAATGCTATACGACATCGCAAAATGTGTTTTGAACACAACTTAAGCTAAAATTATGAGTAGAACGATAGCATGAGTGTATGGAATTATGCTCTGTATATTTCATAGCAATAGTTAACATTATACAGCCCTTCATACTTTTCTCAAATGGAAGACAGTTTTACTGCTTGTCGAAAAGATATAAAATTGTAAATAGATACAACTGACTGACCGTCAAACACAGGCAATCAGTTGGTTCAAGCTGTTTGTATAGCGTATGATCCTAACAAAATACCATGTTGGGCATATTTTGTAACAAGACTTAGTATGTTGTACATGTCTTCAAGACATACATAATATTTGATATCTTCATCTGATGAATGCCGTTTTTTTAACGATTTTTATCACATCTCCACATTGAAGAACGTCATTACCTACATTAAACAAATATTTTCTTTAATTTGATTATGCCATGATCTAAAGAGTGGAGAAAGTTTAGAAACTTATTTAAAGATGTATCACTTTGTGATAGAATACATGTATAAGACAGTATCTGAGATATGACCAAAGTAAGAAATGCAAGTTCAAAACAAAGTATTTTTATCTATACCTAACTGTTGTCTTTTTATTTACTATTATTGTGTGGATATAAATGTCTTTTATAGGCTGCAAATTAACAATACAATACTTATTTGCTTTTTATATATCAATTTTAAGGTCACAATCAAATACTCTTGTCCTGATATACATGTATTACTTACCACTGGATCACATAGCCTAAACCAAATTAATTTCTTACTCTTTGTATATGTTTTTTTTTTTATCTCCTCTCATAATGTCATTCATTCCAATGTACTGTCTTTATATTTGATTATAAAATTTGTGATAAAAGATTTACACTATATAATAAAAAATATTTTAGTTTCGAACAAGGTAACAATTAGAGCTTGTTTTGTCTTCTTTCTGTCGCTCTTTATGAATAACTTTTAAAATTTCTTCATTTTACTTCATATAATTCCAAGTTCCATATGTTACATTTTAGTTTTAACTCAATTATTTGACGTAATTTTTGGGTGTATGTTTTGTGAAAGTTTGCTCTTGATTTAAAGAAAATTGTGCCTTAGCCACTTTTCTACAGTATGTCCGTTGTTTGAAGAGAATTGCTCACTTAGTATTAATATAAACGGCTAAAGTAACATCAAACGTGTTTAGTGTAACTGGTTTTTTTTTGAAATTTTTTTTTTAATAAAAGAGATTCATTTTTGTCACTGAATTTAATCAGGGAATCTGTAAATAAGATCTTAATTATTTCAATGAATTTATAAAATCCCTAGTTAAAATAAAACGATTTTACAAAATCCCTGATTTTACTAATTCACTGTAACATATATATAGTATTTGTTCTTTCATGAAATTAAGCATTTCTTACAGCTCCTGGAAAAGTAACGAGTTTCATAATCAGAAGACCAACCAATATATTGACAACAATGCAAGTTTCGTGGGCTATACCTTCATTGCAAGATAGGAACGGAATTATTAAAGAATATAAAATTAGCCACAACGTCAGTGGGGTATATGGATGATATTTTACAATTTGAGTTATTCTTTGATAGTCCACACACATAATGAACAAGCTTTAGAAAAATAAGAGGCGGCAGATACCAAAGGGATGTTCAAACTCATAAGTCGATGACAAACTGACAATACGTACCTTGGCAAACAAAGAAAAAGGTCCAAAATGACAAACAATAGTATACCTTTGATATTAAGTGCTCTGGTAAGGTAAGAAGATCCTGCTTCATTAGTGGCATCTGTTGTGATTATAATGTAAGTACAATTCCGTTATAAGTCCAATTCGGTATGTCAATACAAGGATAGAAAAGAAGACTGGATTATAGTTACGACAATCGAAACATATCCGTCGATATTTTTAAAACTGATATTTTATAACGGTTGATAAACTAGTGATAGCGTCCGTAAATTTTTTAAAGGGACTAGCTAAACTCCACAACTTGGAAAACCTTGATTAAACAGCTTCCTTGTAAGCCAGTATTCGTTTTCAATGAAATTATGATAGGAAATAGAAGCTCGAATGTATGATCAACTTAAAAATCATATTTTCGTAACGACATTGTAGCGCAAAGAAACTTCAGGTGTTTTACTTTGATGTTACACGCCATTATTACTGGAATTACCAAACGACAATGATATCTCCTAAAAGTATGCCGTGTTCATAGATACAAATGGGGAACTGATAGAAATTCAAATAGGTTAATAAATTTGGTCGATTTAGCATGTTTAAGGTAGCACAATACAAAAACAACTAAATTCTATCAAAATTTCGTTTTTAGCTGTTTTCGTTTCTTCTTATTATTACAAAATCACAGAAGATAAATAAGTTTCCATATCTTGCACTGTTAATGAGTTTTGATACGTTTTGCTCGTGCATGTTCACACTTTACGGACTTCATATACAGGAGTGTGCTCCTTACGTAAACACTGCTCCAACAAAGTTATGTGGAGGAAAGATTAAAAATGACACTCCGTAAATTTTATGGACACCATCACGAATTGGTTGATCCATACGATGTGTCTGTGTCTAAACTAGCTAAGGGCATTTTTACCACGTCTGAGATTGCGTTTTACCATTTACGTCGTCTAATCTTTTAAGTACCGACCATGACTTATTCCCGAATATGACTGTTTTGCTGAGTGTGAATTCGTATTACTATAAGACGTGTCAAGGTATTTGTTATCCAACATTCATGTATTTAGTGTTGATGTTGTATTTGTTATACTGATCGGATATTGTTAAATGTCTTATCGTTTGTAGTTGTAATTCTACCACCTTTTTTATTTTCTATTCGTATGTAAAAAAAGATAATATAATCACCCAGTTCATTTCTAAGATTTTAGTTTAAAGCAACTATATGTACACTATTTATATGTTTTACAGTTTGATATAGAAATAATACCGACATAGCTAGAAAATACAATTAATTATCTAATTACTAACACAATTCTATATCAATATTCTTGTAATTGTTATAAAATACATCAAATGACATAGTTACAAACCTGATCTTGAACAGTATCAAATTGTTTTCAAAATTTACATGTGACGTCACTTTTGTGACGTTGACCCAGTCGCGTGAAAGACAGTTCGTAGTTCTGTTGTGCTGTCCTATGTTGTTTTGCGTGTTCGTTTTTATTCTGTGGTTAGCATGTCGAAAACTACTATAACATTGTTTATTTGTGTATTTCTCTGTCCTGAATGTTCTTGCATTTATTTGTACTGTATTCCTGTCATGTAATGGTGTTATTTTAGTGTTATATTTAACATTGCCATAAAAGTGCAAGGTTTGGCTAGCCACAAAACCAGGTTCAACCCACTATTTGTTTCTTAAAATGTCCTGTGCCAAGTCAGGAAAATGGCAGTTGTTATCTTACAGTTCGTTTCTGTGTGTGTTGCATTGTCGTTTGTTTTTTGTTCACTTGATCATTGTTTCTGTTGTTTCGATAAGACTGTCGTACAAGTGAGAGGTTTAGCGCTATAAAACCAGGTTCAATCCACCATTTTCTACATTTAAAAATGCCTGTACCAAGTCAGGAATATGACAGTTGTTGTCCATTCGTTTGATGTGTTTTGTCATTTGATTTTGCCATGTGATTAGGGACTTTCCGATTGAATTTTCCTCGGAGTTCAGTATTTTTGTGATTTTACTTTTTTCGTTGTTTTCCTCTTATAGTTGATGTGTTTCCCTCGGTTTTAGTTTGTAACCCGGTTTGTTTTTGTCTCAATCGATTTATGACTTTCGAACAGCGGTATACGTATACTACTGTTGCCTTTATTTGATGATAATTATTATGTTAAAAAACAAATGCACTGCCTGATACATATTATCAAAGGTGGGCAGTACTTTGTGGTTAATCAATAGAATCATTTGATATCTTTATGACCACTGACCAGCTATAAAAATAACAGTCACAGAAAATAGGTTGAATTAGGGGTTTAAAGAAAAATAGAAGATAATGAAATGAAAATAAAAATACATTTCTATAATGGAACTGCCAAAAAATAGACAAATTATAGAAAAATAATTCGGAGCTATGGAGGGAATCGTATAATAATGTACAGATATATTGAAAATAAAAAAATGTACAACAATTAATTTTGCTGTTGATAATGCTGATGATTATGTCTAATTTTCTTGAGGAGAATGTGTAAGTATGAATTCTTTTCAAAAGAAATCACAAACTGATCTTTTTTTTTCAGACTTAAAAATTGGAAAAATCTACCTTTAGTAAAGCACCATATTTTCATTGTATACAAGTATAATTCTAGAAATCCCCCATATTAATCCTCTAGACTGACCAACTGATGATTTTAATTACACATGCATAACTTACTTTTTGGGAAAATGTTAAAAACAAAATATATTGTTTCATGTACTAATTGAAGTTAACTAAATAAAAAAATCCATATTGAAAAAAGCAAATGCAATGTGTAATTTAACTTCTGAGATCATTAATGGTTGATGTTTATATCCAATTAAATTGGGTGATTTTTTATGAAATAAGATGGCAAACTTAATTGAAGGGTTATGAGAGAATGAAATACAATAGTAAAAATCTGGGACATGGTTTTAGAGTTCAAACTGTGTTGCACAAGAATCTATCAAAATGTTGGGATGCTATAAATAACGAAGAAGCTAATTTCATTTAAATTTTGACATCAGAATCTAGCAACTAGTTACATAATAATAAGGTTCTTCTCTCTTTTGGTTCATCATTTATGAATTTTAGAACTGTATGAAAGAAATTACATCAATTTAAAGTTGTCTGATTGGGTGAAAAGATCTTTGTATTGTGCTACCTTAAACAACGAAACAAATGAATGAAAATATAATTTATGCGAAATACTGACGATATTATTTGGTTGTTCATTTGGTGTTGTGCTGTTTAACAGCACCAAGTTATGAAATGGACAAAACACTTTCATTTAAAATAACTTATTACGATACAGGAAATGTGGCATTATACCACAAGAGTCCAAACAGTCTTATATTTAATTGAGGAGAGAAAGAAGTTGCCTTATGATACCCTCTTTACCATAGCTGTATACCATTTGATAATATTTTTAGACAACAACAGTAGAAACCATTGCTGCAGATTCCGAGGTTTTCCAAAAACTGTATTCCATTACACCAGATAGACATTACCAGGTTGAAGTAAGTTGGGCAATGGTAAAACATAAATGATAACCAAATGGGCAATAAAAAATATAAGTCGACAACATCAAGGCAAAATTTGAACGGATAAAGGACAATTAACATTTAATCGTACTTAAAACAGAGTACATTTTGCAAGACCCCCCTCAAATAAAAATAATTTAAAACAACAGCAAAAAAACCCAAGATCAAAAAACAGGCAAAAACTGAGATGCTGTAGAAGGTAGACAGATCCTGATAATGTAGCGGCAGCTGTTATGCTTGTTGCTTAGAAATAGAAATTGTAGTATGAATCTTCGAAGAACTCAGGATGGAGTTGACGACACGTCAAATGTATCAATAATCTGTGGTCATTTGTGACACAGATATCTATTGGCTTTCAGGACAACTAAATAACAAAATAGTTCAAATATAAATTACAAAATTCCACAGTGTTCACTTCTACTTCATATACACATGTTCAAAGTAGACTTAAGCAAACATTTCATTCTGGAATTTTTACCAGTTGTATACTTTATCTTTTATAGCTTTATGCAGTAAATACAATTAACCAAGCTGGAGAAAAAGAAAGGAAAATTTATTACGCATCATCAAAAATTGAAAGTGAGCTATTTTTATTTTTCAAAGAGGATGTTATTTAAAATGATGCGGCATTATACTTGCATCAGTGGAGAAATGAGAAACACCATGACAATTTCATTGAATTGGAAATGGGATATTGAGTTGAGTTGAGATTCGCTTTCTAGTACTATATTTCAATATCCTCTCCTTGTTTATTTATTCTAGGAATAGTATACGTGTTCAAGACTTCAGGACATTCATGATTTTGTCTTACTTAACTTTTACACACTCTGTTTCATTTCGTACTACTTTAAGCAAAAAAGTAAAATAACAAAATTATCGAAATCCAAGGAAAATTCTAAATATAAAATAACAAAATCAAAAGCTTAAACACAGCAAACGAATGGAAAACAGTTATCATATTCTTGAATTGGTTCAGGCATTTTATTATGTAAATAATGGTGGATTAAACCGGGTTTTTATAGCTAGCTTAACCTCTCACTTGTATGACAGTCGCATAGAATTCCATTATGATAACAACAATGTGTGAGCAAAGCAAACGGACATAATAGGTAAAAATGTCAAAATTTGGCGTACAGCAGTCAACATTGTTTTATAATGTTAATCACTATAAAAACAAATAACTATTCCAACATAGAAAAATAAAATGACATATAGACATTCTATATACAAAGTATATAAGAAAAATGAAAAGCAACAATACAAGAATATAAAAATGACCGTAGCACAATAACATAATGTCGGGATGTATATATAAGTATCGAGCCACGCCGAAAGTATATGACCAAAATTGACTAAACAGTAAAGGTTAAAAATATAAAAAGACAAGTAAAAGGTTATTAAAATGATAAGCAACGTCAGTACCTAGAATCTATACTAAGACCATCATGTATTATTTGTAAAGTTGATACGGAATATTAACCTCAAGTTTTTGGTTTCTTTGACTGCAAAGGCTGTACGTTCTGTATTAATTTGCAAGGTCTCTCCTGTATGTGCAATAAAACTTGATGTTTTAATTTATTTTCAATTAATTAGTAAAGCATTAAAACTCTTCATTTCTTACACGTCTAGTGGTTATGATTATAAATAACTGTTAACCAAACTTTGAATTTTTCGAAATACTAAGAATTTTCTTCCCCAGTAAAATATCACCTTAACTTATTTGGGAAAATCTTTCAGAATTTCGCGTCCTCAGTGCTCTTCAACTTCGTTCTTTGTTTAGTCTTTTTTAACTTTGATTCAAAATTTTAATCTGGTATCTATGATGCGTAATTGATACATACGAAACACAATTGTCACATAAAAATAAGCGGAAAAAGAAAAACGAATTGTGCGTAGGTAATTTAAATGTTAAAAATCAAAGGATTAAAGTCGAAGCCTAGTTTTGAATATTTAATAGAACGACATTTTCCTATGCTTATCTATACATAAACTTGAAAAAATAAATTTGAATGTTGAATATTGAACAAACTTTACAACTGTTAATTAGATCGATGTTATGGGACTTGAGGTATAACTAAGCATTTTGTTTCGAATTGCATATATCATATATATCATCATTTACGGTTATATATATAAAGAATTATATTTTTGTAGCAAATAAAGCATTTTCAATAGGGACAGTAATAGGAGCTGCTGTTGGCTGTCTTTTAATCGGTGTTCTTGTAACGGTGATTTTATTCTGTATAATAATGAAATCCAGAAGAAATAAAATATCTAAAGAATCAAGTAAGTTTGGTCATTTTCATTTTTAAAATTTTCTTTCATCTAAGAAATACATAATTCAATCAATATGAATAAGGCAATGTTGGGTATTTGCCTATTAAAGCTCAGCCACAAAAACCAATCAAACGATTTTTCGAGGTCAACACACGGCATTTCCTAACTGACATGTTGTCAATCAAAACGTCACACTCTAAATAACTGGTTGTAAATAAAAGGAATGCATATAACAATCATCTCGCTCTATGTTTACGATACAATAAGTATCTAAAACACAACATGCATAAGTACAATCAAAACTGATATATTTATATGTGCCAAAGTGTGCTCGTAGTAAATATAAGCAAAATCAATGCACATTATATGCTGATATAACAAAATTATGCGTCGTATGTATATATTTCGTGCAGCATTACCACTTCATTTCCAACACACAAAAAGATTTTGCACAATTTAATGCAGAAACGTCCACGGCCACAAAAGGGTCTTCAACACAGCACGAGAAACCTGCACCCCGAGGCGGGTTTCAGCTTGCCCCTTAACAATAATGTTTTCATTCGACTTTATACGCGATATAGTGAATTGTAAGTGGAATTTGTATTAACTTAGTATATATTGTCAATGTTGTTTTAACAGGATCAAGACATGCGCTTCAAGAGCCAAAACTGTAAGTAGAAAGTTATTAGTTGCCTAGTAATAATAGTATTTGGTAGTGATATATAATAGATGATTTCATTCAGATATCTAATATCTTATAATTTCGGATATTTATATTTAATGACAATAATGTATTTCTGATGTGGTTTCGGAAAAATTATCACCACTTGAATTAAAAATAATAGACCTGATTTAAAAGTATCAAAAGCTGACCGAAATTAATGATATAAAAAGGACAATACACTTTGCAAGAATAAACTATCAGTTTCAGAAATTTAACATTAGAAGTGTCATTGAGAAATTAATATCCTGCCAATTAACAAGCTCTCCCTTTCAAACTAATGATACCTTCCGAGACTTAATGTCCAACGGTAGAAGCATCTCTGAAGTAATTGCAGTACAAAAAACCTTATGTATATTCGGTAAAAAATATTTCTCATCATAGTGGCTTGAATCTAAATGTTGGATCAAGCACATTATCAAACGTTATAGTACAAACATTCCCCCTCCATTTCTCAAAAAAAAAACGAGACACACGAGAATGGCAGCTGAATATATTTGAATGATTTTGGAGGGTGACCTTTTAAAACTACACTTTTTACATTATAAAAACCAGGATCAAATATCTTGACGGTACAAAGGAACTGGCTATTCGGCACGTGAAACAAAAAGTTACATGAAGTCCATCAGTATGGTCATCGACCTAGTACTGGCTATGCTAATGTACCTGTACTATACACCATTTTTATTGAATACATCAAAGGTAAATTTGGACATTTTAAATCGCCTTAGTGGTGGTCAATGCCGAATATAAGAAATCCGAATGTATCAAATAAAGGCAACAGTAGTATACCGGTGTTAAAAGGTTATAAATCGATTGAGAGAAAACAAAATCCGGGTTACAAACTAAAACCGATGGAAACACATCAACTATAAGAGGAAGTCAAAAAACGAACAACAGGAACACTGAAGTGAAAAAAAATCAAAACAAAAACCCGCTTACATACATGGAAACGAACTATTTTATGACAACTGTCATATTCCTGACTTGGTACAAGACATTTTGAGAAAAAATGGTGGGTTGAACCTGGTCTTAAGGTTAGCCAAACCTCCCGATTTATGTCAATGTTAAAAAATATCGCTGAAATGACAACATTACGTGACAGAAATACAGCACACACACACGCAAAAGTTAGAACTAAAAGTGGAAATCTTTCATTTTATTGCTTTATGTTTGTATTCACATTTTAGAAACCGTTGATTCTTAGTACAACGGAAAGATATAACAACAACAAACCATGACCAAATAACGTTAACGTTGAATATCCACAACTTTAAATGTTTTATCATTTCAGTGGAGACCAATACGAAGACCTTGGAATGGACAATATATCCTCTTACCAAGAACTTGGAGCAAAAGATAAACCTAATGTATATGACCAGATTGGTCGAGTACATACCGTAGACAAACACTATGAAAATATGTTAAATTAAAAATAGTTTGATCTGCTTTGCTTGGTTAATATTCATTATTACAAATTTCATCTTACACTACGCAATTTAATTGACAAACCGTCTTAACCTTGATTGTTTTGGAGCGCTAATTTATTAAGCAATGAAAACAATCAACACAAACACAACATAATGAGAATACTCAACACCAACAATACATAATGCGAAATATAAAACCAACATGACAATATGAGAACACTCAACACAAAGTAAAACGTTGGCTTTCAACTTTAGTTTTACAACATGACTGATAAACTGGTATAGTAAAGAATGTTTTTATTTAATATTATCGGTGCTCAAGTACTGTCTTTCTGGAAGAAAGAACCACGGGAGTGCTTGTTAACCGAGATGATATCACCCAGTGGTAGTTATATTTGTTTTAACAGATTGATATCAATATATATGTTAACTTAACACTGGTATTGCAGATAGTTACCTTTATTTGTTGAAAAGATTGAACAAAACTGTTTATGTACTTCACTAATATTACATCAATTAATTTATACAGAATCATCTGTACTCATGTTTCCTTTCCTGTCTAAATACCTCTTCAAAAATTATAACTTACCAGTACTCTGGCGTTCTGCTAATTCATGTTTCTATAAATAAGTAAAAATTTTTGTTGTTTTAAATGTAATAGTATGTATAGTCGCAATAGTTTTACTGTGGATTCATTCTTATTTGTGGAATACCAAGTTTTGTTGATTTCATGGATACAGTTGAGCCACGGTTTTAAAAGTTACATGTATACTGACTTTTGTAAATCCACAAAATCAAATATCCACAAAAATACAATTTTTACTTAATCCACGAGACCTGGTATCTGTAAAAATAAATGAATCTCAGTATATGCCTTTCATACAGTATTTTATAATACGGTAATAATCTCAATAATTGTAGTAATCATATTTTTTTAATGCATTACGAGAATGTAACAACCACTTTGGTTGCATAGATAAATATCATAATTTAGCAAGCTAGAAAGAAGATACGTTGTGTTCGTTCATTTTACGTATATTGAATATAATATTGTTGGAGACTTTGAACAAACTATAATTAACAACAACGGATATACCACCTCTGGACCTAAGATGAAAAAAAACCTAGAAATTTCGAAAAGTTGTGCTAAAAAACTAATTCTTATATATTCTCGTGATCTTTGGATTCGCCCTTCAATGACTAGTTTTTCACTTTGCATTTAGTCATAACAAAAGACAGAAAATATTACATTTCATAACATAACTATTTCTCTAAATTATGAACACTTTTAACCACGGCTTATCAGAACCCCTTTATTTTACCTTGTGAATTTATACTGTGCCTCATACTATGACGATCGTTCTGATGCATTTAAAAGTAAATGGGATCACCATAGGTAAAAAAAGGCGTGTTAACATTCATGTCTTGTTTTAGAAAATTAATATTTTTGTCATTTGTATAAAAATGTCCGTCTGAAAGGTAACTTGGACCAGCATACCAATTATTAAATAGCTTTTTTTGAACCATGGTAAGTTTTTCTGTTTATCGTAGTTGAGATTATTTTACAAACAGTTTATATAAAGCTACAGCCAATATGTTTACATGTGTGTTTTATAGAAACCAGAAACGTATGAAGTGTTTTCAGATATTATATTCTAGGAATGAATAATCCTCATTAATCATGTAAATGTTCACACAAAATCTAAAATTCATCGTTCATGATTTTATCATGGAGAGGTTCATTGTAACAATCGGTTTCCTGTGTGATGACGAATATTTTTTTCTTGGAACCAAAAAACTCGGAGATATAATTGTTTCAGTTATCTGTGATTTTTGTTTTTGGTCTTTTTTAATTACCAAATTTTGATTTCACTTTGTCAGGAACAGACATGAAATATACATTTTCAAGCATGAAACATTGTTTAAAGTAACTTCTTGCTTTAGCCGCAAAGGGAGTTCCTATTGGAAATCGCATTGTCTATATTTACAGAAGTGCAACCTATAAGTAACTTCCTGAAAATGAGGCTTCATTGTACATTGTATCACAAGTACAAATACCCTTTTTCGGTAATAAAGCCCATGCGTAACATATGGAATACACACGTATGACTTAATTGCATGCTATAAAGACCGTGTAATTGATAAAACTCAACACATGTATTACATCTGAAATTATACCCACTTGCAGTGTTATTTTTTCATCTTTTCTTTTGTTCAGATTGCATTTGATTTTTCAAAATGTAAATGTTAACGATATCATTTACACATTTTTTGTATTTTGTGTAAACCGAAATATAAAAGTTAATAAGAAGCTGCGAGATAGTGATTGCAGTTTCATTTTCCGTAATGCACCACACAATACAGATATAAAAATAGTTGACAATCAATCAATGGAAATGTTTGGTATGCACCAAAGAGTCAAGTTTCTCTGTCTCTGTTAAAGATTTCATCATATGCATAATTCTAGCTATAAAAACAGGTTTAAACCAACATTTTCTACATAAGAAATTGTCTGTACCAAGTCCGAAATATTACAGTTGTCTCCCATTCGTTTGATGTCTATTCTACTGTATGTACATATCATGTTGTACTTGTTTAATCTGTTGAATAAACTAGGAATTGTTTTTAGGAATCAAATCAATTATCATCATCGTTTAAAACGATCAATAAAAAAAAGAAAGCAAAAAGGATAAAATCACAATAAGGACAATTTGTGTGCACTAATTCAACAGACCAATTATGAATTTACAATAACAAAAATTCTTTGCATATTTCTATGAGATCAGAATTGTATATTTAAATAAAAAACAAGGAGAGTAAACATATGTTTTCTTCTTGGTTCCTTTTAATGTATTGTATGTAATACAAACAGGAATTCGTCTATTTCAGACATAGTTAAGCCTTGTTACATATTCCCACTAAAACTTTAACATGGATGACATTTTACTACCTTAGTTGATTATTGTTGGTATATACCAAAATAAAAACAAAACAAAAAGAAGGAGAAACTGGAATATATAATGCAATACCAGACTCCAATTTACATTGAAAACGGGGGAAGTACATTAAACGTGACAATATCAAATGTTTGACTATATCATCCAACGGCACGAATTAAAAAATAAACTGTTATATTAATGACTTGTGACAGCTAACATTTTCTAAAGAAAACGGTGGGTTGCACCTGGTTTTATTATTAGCGTAACCTCCCACTTGTGATTTTATACTTGAATTTTATCGTAGGAATAATGTGCCGATAAGTTAAATTTTGTGAGCAATAGTTAAACTCACCAAAGATACAAGGATGGAAATTTTTAACACCATACGCACGTTTCGTAAAATAAACAAACGCATCAGTGACGCTGACGCTCAGGTGGAAATAAATTAAAAATAAAATTGAGAATGGAAATGGGGAATGTGTCAAAGAGACAACAACCCGACCATAGAGCAGACAACAGCCGAAGGCCACCAATGGGTCTTCAATGCAGCGAGAAACTCCCGCACCCGGAGGCGTCCTTCAGCTGGCCCCTAAACAAATATGTATACTAGTTCAGTGATAATGGACGTCATACTAAACTCCAAATTATACACAAGAAACTAAAATTAAAA